ATATATTTTTTAAAAATAATAATAAAATAAAAAATAAAAGAATCTCCCTATCAATATAAAAAATTTATTTTTTGGAATAATTTTAATTTTTAAAAATAAGAATGTACCATTCTACACCTGAAACTAATATTGTATGTCAACTGTAATAGAAAACACATTTTTTAATTAAAATAAAAAATATACCATTGAAAAAAATTTCAAGGCCCTGACCCGGTATGTCAGTTGGTTAGAGTATTGTCCTTATACACCAAGATTGCCAAGGTTGTGTTTGATCCGAGTCAGGGCACATACAAGAATCAACCAATGGATGCATAAATGGGTGAAGCAACAAGTTTGTTTTTTTTCCTCTCTTTTCCTCTCTAAAATCAGTAAAATTTTTAAAAAATATGTTTTTATTGATTTCAGAGAGAGGGAGAGGGAGAGAAACATCAATGATGAGAGAATCATAGTGGGCACCTCCTACACTCCCCCTACTGGGGATTGAGCCCCCAACCCCAGCAAGTCCTGGGCCTGGGAATGGAACTGTGACCTGGTTCATAGTTCAAAGCTCAGCCACTGAGTCACACCAGATGGGCATAAATGTTTTAAAAAGAGAAAAAATAATTTTCAAGAAGAAAAACAAAACTGAGACACAGAGGAAGGTGGGGCAAGAGTCAGAAAAAGACTACGCTTCCCAGGAGGCTCTGCGCTGACTGTCCAAGGGCTCCCGACAGGCTTCGCGCGCTTTACGCGCCAGCTGGGGGCGGGGAGCCACGGAACCCGCGGAGGATGGAGAGCAGCGACGAGGAAGACGTGGAGAAGCACCGCATCCACCTACGCCCCGTCACTCTGCGCAGCGCCCCACCTGTCACGCTGCACCTTCTTCCCTGCGAAGTCGGGGTTAACCGGCCCGCCCCTGTGGGGAGCTTTTTCACCCCGGCCATCCGTCAGGGTCCCGACGGTGAGCGCTCGCGGCCGGACTGGACGGGCGCGAGGGCTCCTGGGAACTGTGGTCCACCGGAGGCGGCGGGAGAGCCGTCCCCCGGGGTTGCCCCGTTGGGCAGGGACCAGGCCCTCACTGAGGCCCCACGACCCCCTTCTTCAGGACTCGAAGTGTCGTTTCGGGGCCGCCGTCTACGGGGCGAGGAGGTGGAGGTGCCGCCCGGCCTGCTGGGATACGTGATGGCGATGGAGGAGAAGTCGCTGGGGAAGCAGGACTTCCCAGGGGGATCGGACAGTGAGGAGCAGGAGCTGGTGGAACCCCCGGAGGCGCTGGAGCGGGACTTCGTGAGCACAGGGGCATGGGGGTGCCC